TTAAATATATCTGGAATGGCTTAATATTTTCAAAAGCGGTTTGTTTTATTGAATAGCCTAATAATGTGATGATTTTGGGCACAAAAAATAATTTTTTAATTCTAACGCTTTCTATGTAATTTCGGGACCATCTCCGAGACACGTTTTCCGGTCACTTACGGTGACCACATCCGGTAAGTGTGGTATGTGTCCGATAGAGGAAGAATAGATCTTTCATTTGAGCCCTTAATCGGTCCAATCGGTTGAGAAAAACAAATCATTGTAAACGTATGATCATAATTGTCTGATCACTAGAGTATACGAAGGTCTAAAGCCAGTACTAATGGTTGCCGAACCTGAGCTAATAAATCACATAATTGTTACCGATTTTCACGTATTTCGCGACCGAATATGGAAACCAAGCGATCGGAATACAGATCGGAATACAGTGGTCGACCTGAGCGTAGCGGCCGCTGAGGGCGACCACTGGAGACGTGTCCGGGCGGTCGTGAGTCCGGCCTTCACGGGCAGAAAATTGTCGAAAATGCATGCATTGATCAACGAATTGTCGAATCGTATGGTAAACGCGTTGGACGTTATAGCCAAAAATGAGGGCCAGTTTGACGCCATAGACATGTCTGAACGTTACGTAACGGAAGTGATTGTAGCATGTGGCTTTGGTGCCAAAAGTAGCGCGCTCACCGACCTCGACGATCCGTACCTCGTGAACGCCCGCAATATATTTTCCACGTCTATGTTCCGGTTCCTTTGCGCTCATTTAATTCCCACATTTTTACGCCCTTTTCTTAATATAAAGTCATTGACCACTGATAGAGAAACCGATTATTTTGTGAATATATTGCGACAAATATTGACATTAAGACTAAATTCGGACAAAAAATTCGCTGATTTTATAGGTTTACTCATTACTGCTCGAAAGGAAAGGGATGTTACACTGGTTGACAATGACAGCCAAATTCATTATATAAACTCAGGTTTGTAGTAGTATTTAAGTAACATTATTTATATTTATCTAATTTAAATAAATCATTGTAGTTACGGTAAATGTATTATTTTCAATATTTGATTTAAAATTAATTATTGCCATCTCAATTTTGTGTTAACAATGATTAACTTATAAACTCCACAAAACAGTTACAGACTATACACATATTTGAATTCAGTTTTCAAATGTAATTCATTAGTGAAACTTATTTTCATATCTCATGGCATGGTGGTCACAGCCCTGATGGTGGTCACAGTGTTGACCCAAAAACGGTCGGCAATTATATTAATTTTATTTTAAAGTCATTTTCACTACTACTACGAATAAATATTGAAAACTTAACTAAACTTAATTGAAAAATATTTAAATTATACACACGTTTATAATGAATACATATATATTTGCTAATAATATACCGATTAATAGGCGGAGAGGAGCCGTCACTTAGTAGACAGTCGTCTGTGAATATAAAAGCAGTTAATCAGTGGCTATCGGACGAGGAGATCGTCGCCCAGGGATTTATGTTTGTCGGCGCCGGGTTTGGGACGACCTCTTCGACGCTCGCATTCATGGCCTATGAGTTGGCTCTCAATCCGTCGGTTCAACAGAAACTCTACGACGAGATAAACGGTGCCATCGATTCGGACGGAGAGATACCGTACGACGTGTTGACACGACTTCCCTATTTGGATGCCGTCCTATCCGAGACACTTAGGCTTCACACGCCGGCCCCCAAACTGACCCGAATAGCCACTCGAGAATACAAAATAGGCGACACCGGGATTACGATACCAAAGGGCATGACAGTGGAAGTGCCTGTATATGCCATACACCGGTCGCCTAAGTACTACCCCAATCCCGATCAATTTGAGCCGGATAGATTTTTGCAAGAAAACAGGCACAACCTAATTCCCTATACATACCTACCTTTTGGCGGAGGCCCACGATTTTGCGTCGGAAAGCGCTTTGTATTACTAGCGGTAAAAGTGGCCATGGTCATGATTATTAGAAAGTATCGTCTGTTTCGTACCGACAATACTGTCTCGCCATTAATCTTGCAAAAGTATTATAGAAATAAAATGGTCAAGTCCATTTGGTTGGGTATTGAACGTAGATACTAAGTTTGGACCATCGAGGGACGAACTTGCCTGGGTGGTTATGATTGTCGAGAATAGTTAGTATTGCGGGAACATAATTAACATTTTGAATTAATTAAACTTGGCGAATCAAGTTATTTAGCTTGCTAAATTTACGTTTAACCAATACTTAATCCTCATTTTGTCATTGAAATAACATAAGTTTTATGGACTGTGTATTAGTTGAATTGTGCAATTGTATAACTGCTTTGTGCCATCAACCATAAGATAATTTTACCAATAATTTCCGATATATGAACACAAAATAATAGTATAACATTATATACAATTAAATCTAATGTTATATCAATGACAAAATGAGGATGTCAGCGATAGTTTAACGTAAATTTAACAAGCTAAGTTACTTGAATCGCCAAGTTTAGACAATACAAAATGTTAATTGTGTTACTGGCTAACTATTCTCGACAATTTCATGATTATTAGAAAGTATCGTCTGTTTCGTACCGACAATACTGTCTCGCCATTAATCTTGCAAAAGTATTATAGAAATAAAATGGTCAAGTCCATTTGGTTGGGTATTGAACGTAGATACTAAGTGTGGACCATCGAGGGACGAACTTGCCTGGGTGGTTATGATTGTCGAGAATAGTTAGTATTGCGGTAACATAATTAACATTTTGAATTAATTAAACTTGGCGAATTAAGTTAATTAGCTTGATAAATGTACGATCAACCAATACTGGCATACTCATTTTGTCATTGAAATAACATAAAGATTATGGACTGTACATGAGTTAAATTGTGCAATTGTATAACTGCTTTGTGCCATCAACCATAAGATAATTTTACCAATAATTTCCGATATATGAACACAAAATAATAGTATAACGTTATATACAATTAAATCTAATGTCATATCAATGACAAAATGAGGATGTCAGCGATAGTTTAACGTAAATTTAACAAGCTAAGTTACTTGAATCGCCAAGTTTAGACAATACAAAATGTTAATTGTGTTACTGGCTAACTATTCTCGACAATCATAACCACACAAGACATATTCGCTCATCAATGTTCTCAACTAAGTACTAAGATACTAATTATTTACCTAATTATTTAAAAGTGGGTGTAATTATCAATTTATGTTATTACAATATTATGTATTAATAAGCATTTATATGTGCAAACAAACACTATCTCACTCTCTGTCCGACAAAGGGTTTTGCAAAAACTCATGAAATGAATATTTGTTCAGACAATTCAAATACAGGCGATACTAGATATGGAGAACTAATGGAGAACCACTAATTGTTGGTTTTGTTGATACTGTAATTCATAGACGTCCAAAATATGAGTAGCATGTTAAATTACTAATGCTATTCATATAGCAATGTGACCGCTGTGGTACATATATGTACATCTATGCTGTAATTACTAATTATATTGATTACAGTGAATTCCTTATTACAAATTATTACTGAATATGAATGGTCTGCAATTTTATATAAAAATATTAATTAGCCCTGACGCCCCCTAGTTTCACATAGTGAGCAAATTATTAGCCCCTCCATTCAAGTGTACACACACTTTAATAAATTGCAATAAAATATTTGTCCAGTATGTTTTACAAAAGTTTTGAATGTACACTATTTTTTTGACAAATGCAAAACCTTTCTTATATAAAAACGCAATGTCAAAATCATATATTTATATAAACAATATTTTGCAGTAAAATCTCTTAAAAACTCATTGAACTGTAATGAAAGTTTATTTTGGCAAATTATATTATGTAGAAAAATTTGTTTAAAAACTCACTGTATTATCAAAATTACTTTAATAATTCACTAATGGTCAATTGTGAGTTGGTCACATTGGTTATTTGTCTATTTGACAGCTATTTTATTTTAGTTAAACAGTATTACTATGATATTGCAGTACAATTCACGCATAACATACTTTTGGTATAAAAATTATAATAGACATCATTTAGAAACGCAAGCAAAACATTAAATGTTTTTTGGATTCTTCTTATAATTAGATTTATATAACAAAATAGTGTATTATAATAAATTATAATATGAGATACAATACAGTACTAAACAATTATCAAATCCAGATTAATATATCTAAAAAATATTTAATATTTAAATATTTGTTTCAAATCTCGGCTCAATTCTGATGCAAAGTCTTTCGGCGACGGTTTGGTGTATGAATCGCTTATACCGAAGGGGAACGTCTGTTTCCGGGCACCGAACCAAACGATACTCTAGCAACGTATGTACCAGGGTCAGTTTCAATTCAAGT